TCCCAGCAGGAAAGGCACCAGCAGACGGTGTCCTGCCCTCCCCCAGTTGCCCCCAGAACCAGGAGAAAGTCCAACCGTGCCGACTCCTGTCCAGACTTCTCCCCATCAGAGCCTGGTCCTTGGCCCTTTACTTTCCCTTCCCACATTCCCCAGCCTGGGAGGCAAAGGAAAGCAAGTAAGGGCTGAGGAAGGCTCCTTCCTGCCCAGGAGTAGGGACTGCAGGAAGGTCTCAGAGACACAGAAAAGCCAGTCCAGGAAGAGGGTGGGGCAGAGGAGGGTAGAACCATAAAACCTTACTGCCTTCTCTCACTGTTTGCCCTCAGACAGGCTCCTATGAAAATAAATTGCACCTCCCTATTCTGGCATAAACACTGCTTTGCTGCTTCATACTTTCAGTTTTCTTTCAGTACTGCTGACCTAGTCTGCCACCCTCTTACCACCGCTCCACCCAGAGTAGAGTGCTGCAGCAAAAGTGAATTTTGCTATCCAAGGTATCTTTCTGGTTGCAAAATTCTGTGTTCCTGCGGCTAAAAAGTCTTGACTCATTTCTGCTTTTCTGTGCTTTTCTTAAAGAGTTCCCAGTTGTGTCTCACAAAATATTGTCTAGGTTTGGAGCTTATTCCAGCTGCTGTTATGCTATCTTATTGCGGGATAATGCCATCTGCCTGTGATCTTTTATCCCCGGGCAGTCTATTTCTGGATTGTATAAACATTTCCCACTGTGAGGAGAACCCAGTAAAGAGAAAGGCAGTGCTATAATAGAGGAAAGCAACGTTACAAACAACAGGACTAAATCATCCTGCATCTGCTTCTTCCACGATCAATGCATCAAAATACAGAATAAAGAGATGGAGCTATTTGAAAGGCAGCTGTCTTCGCTCTCTCCACTTTTGTAACAACAGCTACTATAAATTGTAGTAAGACACGTTTATGTCAGGGCTGGCGAGCTCTCTTCGTGGTATTGCTGACATTTTCCATGAAATCCTGACACTAAACTATATGGCCTAGCACTAAACCACTTCTAGGAATTCCTGTGAAAAAGAGCATGTGTTTCTGATTGTCAAGGAAGAAACCAACATGAAGGAGGGCAAGAAACATGATGAACTGAAAAAAATAAGGAAAGGGGGAGGAAAATGGAGGGTAAGAAAGCAGAAGCAAAGAAAACAAAATACAGGACAGCCAATAGTAACTGTTCAAGGAGCAAAGGGAGAAGGGATGGAAATGGGAGTGCTAAAACTTTACCAAATACAAACAAGAAGATTGACTCAAAGAAAAATAAGGAAAAAAGAGGTGTCTCTGCCCAATACTCTTTATTACCCTTTGCAACAAGAAATGCTTATTTATAAAGATTGTGTAGCTGAACTTCTAGTACCTTACTGTGGTCACACAACTCCTACACAGAATTCATTCTTGCCCTTGCTTACAATCTTACAAACGACCACTCAGCACCTTTGTAAGGTAAAGCTTCATGGGACAAACGCTGGTGCTTCTGCAGCCAGTGAGTATCTATCTGCCAGCCAAAGCATCTCAGATTTTTGCTACCAATTGTCACCCTTTGTTAAGTGAGACCTTTCTTACAATGCAAAATATATGACTGCTGAAGAGTCACACTGCTACAATAATTAAGAAATTAAGATGAGGTTTTTAGAACTGTGGGAACTTAGTTTAAAGCACTTTCTCCCTTTGGTTTTTATTTATTCTTAAGAGGTAACATGAGCCAGGATTCAAAAGAAATGCTTCTGTGAGAATCCTAAACATCGGGGATACCAGGATGAGGTTTACTTTGACTGTCCCCATCTTTTTGTTTTCTTTTTTCCCCAAAGCTATTTGGCTAATGCTGATAGAACCTATATTGTTGTCCATAGCTTACCTAATTACAGGAATGCTGCTGCAATCAAGCTGCCTTTATTACAGTAAAAAATCAGTATCTCAGCATGATTTCACTCTGGATGACCCCTCATATCATCAGCTCTTAATAGGCTTACGACTTGTGTGGATTACTAAGCAATTGCTGTAAAAATAATAGTGCTGGGAATTTTATAATTTTATCATATTTTGTTTCAGCTGTGAAAAATAACTTCCTAGAGGACTGTCATTCCTGGAAGGTGTGTCAACTCACAGAGCCAGAGATGAGCTTACTCTGGAGTTGCTCTGCAGCACGTATTGTTTAACAGTACAAAATGTGTACTTTGGGCAAACAAATGCAACATAAATATATCAGACTTAGGCCTTCACCCATAACATATGAAAGAAAACAACATTTTAACACCTTTTCAGTAGCGGTTATTGTCATGATTGCTTTCTTACGTTCATACAACACAAACTCATCACACTTCATAGTTGAAGTCTCTTTTTAAATACACAGGTATTTAATTAGCTTGCTTTGGGTACTACCCTATGACATACTTCCTTCCAAGTAGACTGGAATAAAACAGAAGAACGGTCCTCAGTTTTAAGGATAAAAGGCATTTTTCTCAAAACAGGCTGCTGAGACTGAAATAAAACCAATAGACTGGAGGCAGCCAAATACGGGGAAACACATGTTATAGGACATTGAAACTTGTATGTGGGAAGAGGCTGGCCTTCAAGGATGGATGAAAATACAAAAACACATTGGTGACACCACGCCCTGAAAAGTGCCATACATGTTTATGTACAATTAGACAGGTACACACCAAAAAAAACCAAATTCAGTGGAGGACTTTCTGTTTCTTATTA